ATGCAGGATCTTTTTGAAGATTCCTTTTGGGTCCTAAGATGTCTGCCCATCTCAAATTGATTGGTGCAAGTTGCACAAAAAAAAAAAAAATTTAATTTTAATGGTCATTTTTTTAAAAAGAAAATATCTTCTATTATCAGCATGGATTGCATTTTATTAACTGTCATTTTTCTTCTTGCTCTCTTTGTAAAATCCTCCCCACCAAATATAAGTACCAGTAAACCCTAGAAACCAAGACTAAGAATTTGGTGGCAAATTAACACTTCCTATCTTTATGAAAATGATAATAGTTTTGGTTTTTTGCCAGTCTCATTTTAGTACTAGCTCTGTGACTTCTGAGTGCTAGTTTTTCTATAAATCGAAAATAGAAATTACAAGCCCTCGTCTCCCATTTTCTTGGGGAAACCGAGAACCAGAAAAGCTAAGTGATGCACCCAGATCCTGCACTGAAACCATAGCAGAGCCAACGCTGGCTGTCCAAGTGCTGGCTGGGTCCAGTACTACCTACAGCTTGCCTGTCCCATTTGAAGGAACACTGAAATACCATTTAAGTATGCTTTTTATGATCATTTGCTTTTCAGCACAATGTCCAGGGTGTTAAAACTTAACTGTTCTTGAGAATGATTGACGACATTTCTCCTTCATTCTTTAAACAGTATTAACTTTACAAGCTAGTTTGCAATTTTATTACATACTCACCATTTTAGGTAGAAAGATGTTCTCTTTGAGAATCTGGATTCCTCCTCCAAGTAACCTCTCTTCATATCTCAGGAGGAGATAACAAATCAAACATTAAGAATGAGGATTGACTCAGGCTCACATATGATTTCGTTTAAGCATCAACATGTTAATTAATGGTTTCACCCACAACTATTTTGTAATTGTGCCCAAGGTTGAGACTCCATAATATTTGACATAATTAATTATTTGCCAACAATAGAAACTAATAGAATAGGATGGAGTACTTTACAAGCACTAGAATATTCAATGGTTTCTCATTACAGTGCCCCAAGTATATTTATTAATATTCAACGGATTCATTCATTTATGAAATGAACATTTAATGAGTACCAGCTACTCTCCTTGGATACTAGATAGATGTATACAACAAGAAAGAAGATAGTCCATGCCCTCGTGAAGCTTACATCTAGTGGGACTGTCAAACAATAAACAATAAGTTAATTAGGGATGTGATAAATAGTGGAACTGAAATAAACAAGATGACATGATGAACAGTAAATGAAAATGGCTAACTTTACATGGGGTTGTTAAGAAAGACCTCTCATAAAAAGGGACATGGAAGCAGATTCCTGAAGCTAAGAATGAACTAGGCATACAGAGAGCTAGGGAACCAGCAAAGGCAGACTAGGGAACCTCAAGCTGTTTCCTATCTGTTAACTGAGAATATGAATATTCTCCCATACACTACTCATAGGAATGCTGTGGTGATATCAATAAATTTAAATACAAAGTGGCCTGATCTGGGGGAAAAAAAAATGGCCTAATCTGGGTTGGATATGTATAATAAGCAATGAAGGAGAGATGGAAGTCTTTTTCTCTACTTTTAGAAAGAAAAAATTACTTGGATGTACAAGAGAGTCACACCAGGAAGCATTTAGAGACCTGTATCTTGCTTTCTGTAATCAAATGCTGCATTGTGTGATGCCAGTTGTCAGTGCAGGCGTTCCTCCAGGCCTGGAGTTTGGACTTGGCTTCAGCCTTGAGGAGTGGGTGAATTTGGATCGGCCAGCAGGGGCAGTAAAGGGTGCTTCAGGGTGAGAGAACTATATAAATAAGTATACTAAGGTGGCACCACCAAAAAAAAAAAAAAAAAGTAATTATGCAAAACGAGATGTGAACTAAGCTTATTGCTTAATCATTTCACAGTCGATACATGAATCAAATCATCATGTTGTACATAATGTTACATGTCAATTATATCTCAAGAAAGCTGGGCAGAAAATCATTTTTTTTTTAAAAAAGATAACTAAAGTGGACCGAACTTGAATGAGTGCTTGAGACCATGATGGCTCAAGCTGGAGCCAGAGTGGTCTCTGAGAGAATGGAAGATAATAGATTGGTCTGATTCATAGAAGTCATTGAAAAGTCAGTATATCAGTTTTTAACCTGATATTTTAGACAAGAGGGGATCATTATGTTTCTTGAACAAGAAAATTGTATGGTAAAAAGAACAATTTAGTAACATAGATACAGATGAATAGAGACAGGAGGGAAAATCCTGGAGAATGGGAGACTAGGTAGGAGGAGGACCTTCTTTTTTTTTTTTTTTTATCATGACATTTCATCATACCTGGTGATGAAAATGAGGACTATATTCATATCATGGACTATGCTCATATCGGAATGAGCTGTATATGAGACTTTTTGGGGAAATGAATATTGACACTTGACTAAAGAGTGATAAATCAGTAGTCAAAATGCCTGCTCTCTCTCGAGCCCCAGGGACTGGCCAAACAGTGTCAGTGATGGAACTGGGCAAGTTTGCCTGGAATAGTAATGATTATTTCATCTTGGACATGTTAAGTTTCAGACGACAACAGGACACCCAAATTGTGATGTGAGCACACAAGTAGAAGTACAGACTAGAGCTAACATGGAAAGTCAAATTAAGAAATGCAAACAGGTGATGAGAACTGAGGACTTAGCTCTTGAGAATGAATGCTTGTGATAAGAATATGTGTAATGGGGTCACAGTACACGTACACACACACACACACACAAACACACACACAACACAACCTGAGTAGAAGGTACCAAAACAGCAGTGGGATAAAAGCCAAGACAAGAATTTCAGGCAGTAAATAGGAAAAGTTCTTAGGGAAATACTGCTATCATTATCCCCATGATACAACTAGCCTTTTAATGTGATGACTACATGTCCTAAGGTCTTTCAATATAAAAACGGATTCCCCTCCACAACCTTTAAAATAGCAAATGCTGTGGTTATCCCCACTTTATAGATGAGGGAGCTTAGCACAGAGAGTAAGCAATTTGTCCAAGATTACCCAATCTGAAAAAGTTGGAACTGAGATTCAAACATAGGCATTGTGTTTTTCAAAGCCTGCATCCTTAACCTCCCACACCATATGGTTATAATATCCACGATGGTATTTTAATTGCATCGTTTGACTTCCGTCTTATGTAAGTTTCTTGAAAAGGAGTTAATTAATTAACAGTTTAAAAAGTGGAAACTAGGAAGTCAACAGATGGCTGGGCTGTGATTGGATAGTCCCTTTCAGTAGAAGAGAACTTGGAATTCTCTAGGGTAAGGCAGAGATAGGGAAGAATATATCTTTTGATCTATTTTTTTCTTTCTCCTCTCCTTCCGTATACTGTTGTTGAAATGGGAAAATTGTCCAGTTTAAAGAGAATAGGAAAAAATGGTACCTCTGTTTTCTAGTGCTTTCTCTTTACTATAAATGTCTGTTCCTTATTTGTTTACCAGGAATGTTAGTTTATCTAAATTGTCAACCAAAAATTTACATGAAAACTCATTACTTTCTTAATTTTCATTAAGAGATGAGAGAATGTAAAAGAGTAGGGTTTCTGAAGTAGCGTCAACATTGGCATTACTGGAGTGTGTTCAGTCTGGGAGCCCAAGTGCCTGGATTTGTTTGTGGGGAGTCTCAGGGCTTAGAGCAGGAGTTACGGACTAGAACCCTTTCCTCTAGAGAAGCTACACAAGACTTCTTTGACAGTGGGTTTAAGGAATGCTTTCCCATTGGCTGGGAGAGGACTTTGTTTCCATTTTCCATGCTTTTCAGGGTCTCCCCAGCCTTTCTCACATCTCCATTATTTAAGGAAGAGGCAAGTGTAAATAGCTGAGTTCCCAGCGCACTATGCTCAGTCCTACAGTAGAAGGAGGAGGGGCAAGGCACCTGCTTGCTGCCTCAACTGCCACAGGGAAAGCAGTAGCAGATCTTCCTTCAATGGGACTGTGAATGGATGTCATCTAATTACTCTTCTTGAAGCACAATATGCTCAAGTGAACTGGCTGCTTAAAAACCTTCAATCTTTCCCATTTGAACGGAGTAAAATTCTTAGCCTTAGATTTATGACCTTCCATGATTCGAGCCCATGCTATGTATGTCTGACCTTGTTACCAGTAATCCTTCCTTTTTTGGTCAGGCAAGCTGACCTATTCCATTTCTTCTACGTGCCCCCTCTTGCCTGTGTCTGTGTTTACACTGATGCCTCCAGGGATGCCTCCCCCACTTCCCGCTCCAATCTCTAGTATCACTAGCCCCTGACATGCTGCACACAGCCCTCATCCAAATGCACTCTCCACCACGCAGCCTTACTGAGCTCATCAGAACTCCCAGGTGATTTTATCACCAGTTCTCATTTTATCTACATTCTAGATATTTATGTGCATATATTATCTTCCTTATACATTCTCGGCGTAATTTGTACCTAATTTAACTTTGTATCTTCCATTTCACCTACACTTAACATCAGAGGAAGTTAAAACCGCAAAGAGTTGAGGGGACATAGAGGTTACTTGTAATAATATGTCTTCTTAAAACTTCTCCTTTCTCTGTACCCTAGTAAATAAGTGAAGTTGGAACAGGACCAGTTCTCCCAATTTTCAGCCCAGGACTTACCCCAACAGCAGTGGTTCTCCCCCTGGCTTGCATTTTGGAATCACCTGACATCACCTATGGTGCTTTAAAAAATTCTAATCTGGAAGCCCCAACCCATAGAATTTAGAATCTCAGGGGTGCAACCCAGACATCAGCATTATTCAGATCTCCCAACATGATTCTAGTTGTGCAACCAAGATTGGTAATGAACTCCCCCACAGCATGATGGCCCCTAGACCATTCTTGCTTTGCTAGGTAATTCTGTTAATTTGAGAAACTTGTATTTTTTTCATATGAAGAAAATTTTAAAGTAGATAAGTGCCAAATGTGAGATGGTAGTATAATACCGTTTGTTTTGCTTACAACAGTAGCTTACATAACTGTTTAACTTTTCAGATATTTCGAAAGAAAGCAGTGGAACTTGGGGTAAAATTGCTACCTGCATTTCATACTCCCTCTGGAATACCTTGGGCATTGCTGAATTTAAAAAGGTAAAACTCTTCATTTTAACAACATAGTTTTGAAGTTGGAATATGCAATATTGTGGTTTAACTGGATGGATGGTTTCTTGCATGATGTCAGTGACCAATACCATTGGCAGTCTTGGCATCTGTCCTTGTGTTGGAAGCTATACGTTTTCCAGTGTTCCTCAGCCTTAGATGGGTTCCTGTCATAGGATAGCATGACCCCAACAGAGTCATCCAAGCCAAACGTGATTTGAGGTTTTCACTATTTCGTGGTGATGTTGCATTTTGTTTCTCTGAAGATACCAAGAGCATCCCATTGTCTTTAAAATTGTCATCAAAGCATTTCACTTCCAAAGAATCCAATTCCTAAGAGCACTTACTTCAGTTAAGCTGCTGGCAGAGATACTGCAGAGCCAGAACCTTGACCAGGTCTCCCATGTAAGGAGCTGGTGTGACAGACACAGGGAGCACCTGGGCTGCCCTGCCCACAGTTGTAAAGAAGGGAAGGGAACTGCCCTGCTGACCCAGATCAACCTGACCTTCTCATGCCACTGGGGTGGAGAATCCTGTTAAGCCAAGTCCATGGGAATTTTGCTGCAAGTAAACCTAGGCTAAACAGACTTTCTGGTATTTTCCCAGGGAGTAGTTTGAATTTTCATGACAGCTTGAACATTTTGTCAATAAACAGTTTTATCTTAAGCCTCCTTTTTAACTCCTTCTTCCTTGTAAGTAATTGTTTATGTACCTCCTTGTGGTGATGATGATGATGATGATAATGATTTATCATGATAAAATATGAAGCTTTGTTCTAGGCTCTATGCATGTATTACCACATTCAATCCCACAATAACCCAATAAGGTCGATACTGTTGTTATCTCCATTTTACTAATGGAAACTAATAAGGAACTTGTGTTGCAGAGAAATTAAGTAATTTGCCTAACATCATACTGTATGTAAGTGGTAGAGATAGAATATGTACTTAGACATTTATACACACATTGATGCATAGACACAAATTTTTTTTTAAAGATTTTATTTATTCATTTGAGACAGACAGAGAGTACATGAGCAGGGGGAGAGGGAGAAGCAGGCTCCCCGCTGAGTCAGGAGCCTGATGTGGGACTCGATCCCAGGACCCCGGGACCACGACCTGAGCAGAAGGCAGACGCTCAACCATTTGAGCCACCCAGGTGCTCCCTGCATAGACACAAATTTAACAGCTTTCTTGGTTTAGAAATACCAAGAGGATGTACAGGGTGGTTTGGCAGAATTAATGCACATTTATTCTTTTTTTTTTAAAGATTTTATTTATTATTTGGCAGAGAGATACAGAGAGAGAACAAGTAGGCAGAGAGGCAGGCAGAGGGAGAGGGAGAAGCAGGCTCCCTGCTGAGCAGGGAGCCCGATGTGGGGCTCGATCCCAGGACCCTGGAATTATGACCTGCGCCGAAGGCAGCCGCTTAACCGACTGAGCCACCCAGGCGCCCTGCACATTTATTCTTAATTATTTATTTTAGTGACTTTCTTTCCTAAAATTAATCTTAAATAATCATGAAATTACTTATTTGGTTAATAAATCAGTTAAATGTCATGCTTTGTTTTCATTTGTATGTTACATTTCTATACCTTGAAATCACCCCGTACCTGTGTACTGTGTATAATAAGTGTGTGTGTGGGGTCGGGGTTGGGGCAGGGGTGTCGTTGAGCAGTGAGACAGGGAGAGACCACATAACTAGGCCATGTTAACTTGAGGTAGTTCTCTATTATATGATGTGATATCTCAGGATCCGTTTTTCCCTGTTGGGGTCCTATGATTTTCTCTGTTACTACCCTGAAGGTAGTAACATACGCTGCAGGGACTTAAAGCAAGAGTTAGTCTGTGCTAGGCCTGGAGACAGTGTGGTCTTTGTTTGAGATCCGTGAGTTTTTTATTTGGCTCAGGTATATCACCTATAATAACCTTCCATATCTTTGGACTTCGTATTTATAGATAGTATTCTGACCTAGAAGCAACTCTGCTACCTGAAATAACACCTGCTTATGAAAACACTGTGCACGTTTAACACTCTTTTTCTTCCTCCTTACCCTCTGAGAAGAATGATATGGGCATAATAATACACTGAGCTAGGTGGTTAACAGGAGACCTGGTTCTAGGTATTTTACAGCTATTCTGGGTGTCTTCAGAGAGATCATCTCCACCCCCAGGATTATTTGTAAAGTGCAGTTAGGCTACTTCAGTAGTTATTTTGTGAACCTTTACAGGTTTATAGGCCACTTTGAAATTCTGATGAAACATGGCCCTCTCCTCATAAAATGCACATTCCTGAGTATGCATATTTTTACACAGTTTCCCAAAGCTGACAGAACTGTCGGAGCCCACCTAGAACCTGAGAATCCCAAGTTTAAAATACTGGAGTGAACGATCACTCCAACCTTCTACTCTAAGATTCTGTGGAGTTAGGGCCTATTGCTTCCTGGAAGCTAATGAAATTAACTGAGGCCCTACCAAAACTAGCAGAGACAGGTATACACCTACATCTTTGCAAAAGTTCAGCCAATTATTGTAAGGTGCTGATATCATCCAGTTAGTTCTAGCCTCTCTTAAAATAAGCGTCAGAAATTAGATTATTCTAAAGCCTATTTAATTTTACTTACTGTTTACTTCTAACAGCCGAGAGGATTTTTCCTTAGTTAAATCTACCCTTAGTGTACGGGGGAGATATGTTTCAGCACATAAAGGAACACTTCTCAAAACTCGTAAATACTGAGTCCTGTTACCCTTTCATATCCATACCTCTTGGAAACTCATTAAGTGGGGCAGTATGCTTTTTATAAAACCTTATTTGGATTTACAGTATTTTACATTAGAATTTTTTAATTCCAAGAATTGCAGGACAGATGTATATGGTAAAAACTAATGTGCCATTTTATTTATGTATCCTCTAATGTTTTCATGTCAAACTGGAGGAAATTAGGTGACCCTTTGACAGCTGATGGGAACACTTCTAATTTCTTCCTGGCGATCTGTATGAATTTTTTATTATATATTTTATCCATTCTCAGGCCCATTTACTAAATCACAGTGACTTACCCAAATTCAGAGAAGCAGCCATGGCAAAATTAATAGTACTATCAATCCACTAAAATTCCTTATGTCCCTTTGAATCCATTCTCCCTCCAGCTGTGAGATTTATTTATCACCTTAAAGAATATCCTTTAGGAGAAGAAGACAGAGTTTCCTATTTGATCTGCAATAACTGCATTTCAGGATGTGCTGTTCCTGTCAACATGTACATCCACGCTGTTTCCTCTGAATATCTGTATTTTTACAGTATGGGCCAGAGGATAAGGGACAGCGGGCATGGAGCTTCTTTTCTCATTTTTTGGAGACTGTCACCAGTAGAATTTTCCAAAGAGAGGAGAAAAAATATGTCTGACAAAAGCATATTTTCTTAATTATCTTCTCAGAATAAGGGAGTGTCTGTGAAATGATGCCCATAAGAATAAAGTGCTTGAGGATGCTTTTTAGAAGAGTTACATACTGTTGACTGGCTTCAAAAATTTTGGCAATAATTACAATGGGAGAAGTATAGAATATGCTGTCGGTAATAACATAGTTCTCTTCCCTCTCAATTTTGAAAATACGGATGCTGCTCTTTGCCAACACCTATATGTTAACAAAAAATGTGAACTTTTGGGTGTTATCTTTTCACATCTGCCTAGTATTCAGATTATTGCCTGAAGATAACTGTTTCTTTACCTTTTCTTTGTAAGAAATAAACATTTATTTTAGTCCCTGCTGTGAAGTTTCTGTGCTAGGTCCTGGGAAAGATTTTCTGTTTCTCTCCACTTTATTTAAAAAGATAACAGACATGGTCTTTCCCTCAGGGTATTCACATCCTGGTTGGTAAAGCAGAATGTATATTTTATATGTTACTATATTACACACTCACTCATGTAATTGACAAATGTAAGATGTTCTGTGCCAAGGAGAGATAATAAGTACTCCCCAAGTTGAATTTAAAGCAAGCAGTAGTTTGAATTGGGGAGGTTGATGCATTTGGAGCCAAAACACCAATAAGCCAAATTGGATTTCAGCATTTGTACAAACTGAGAATAGCAGAGAATCTAAATAATTTACTCGTACGCTACATTAGGAACTCTGTCCCAAAATCTGTTCAGAAAAAAATATATATAATTATCTCTTTCGCTACATCTGTAATCTTAATTCGAGAGCTGCTGTAGTAAGTTGTAAGTTAATCGGAATTGTGATTTAATAGCAAGTGGTAATTTGAACAGATACCTAGTGTTACACACGGGACCTGACTCGACTAACATACCGGCTTCAGGAATACAATAGTAGAATGAAGATGCGTAAGTTATATCACACCTCTGCTAAAAGGAAAGCATTGCCTTTTTATAGATTAGAATTTTGGTGGAACTCAATTTCTCTAATGTGAAAATGTCAAAATTTGATGTCTGATCTTATTATTACTGTGAACAGGAGGCCCTCTGCATTCTTTTCCTGCACCCTACAGAAGAAAAATCACCTCTGTGGTTTGTAAAATCAAGCATTTTACCATTTCCATATTCCTGGGTGTAATTCAAGCCTAGGTAGAGTTAACTTATTAGATTTGGGGTGTTCTCCAGTGTGTTCTTAATTTAAAATAATAGAGTTAATGTTCCCATTATTCATTTCTATCACAGGGCATACAGTCTGGGCATTCCTAATAATTATTCTGCCTTTTTGATAAATGAGTTAGTTTTAGCTATATTCTGTTTTATCACTTGTTTCTCTTTGTGGATTTTTCTAAACTGACACTTGGCGACACTTGCCTGGTGGTTTTATTAGGTTAGTGGAACTGTCTACAGCATGCGTTTTGGTGGTGCACGTCAAGGAATGTGCTGGAAGTGACTGATCTCCGTGCCAGCTCTCATTAGTCAGCAAGGTGATGAATGAGCACAACTGCCTCACCTGTTTTTATTTCCTGCTTTGCAAAGCCTTATTTACTGACGACTCTGA